GGCCCATACCTCAAACTCATCTGTGACTAAAATTAAACCTGCCTGAGAGGCAAGATGGCACAGAAAGGCCACAGGTGTGGGAGTCAGGCTAGATTAGACTCCCTCCTTGCCCCTCCCACCTGCCTGCCACATCTCCTCCCTGCTGCCTGTTCTCTGATCACATGGGCCTGTAAGTGCTCACTTCATGGACTTTGCACATGCTGTTCCAGCCTCCTAGAAGGTTCCTCCTCTGCCTCTTTCTCATCTTCCAGCTTAACTACCACTGCCTCAGAGAGGACTTTCTGACCCTTTCCCATTCTATTGTTGTTGTTGTTGTTATATGCCATCGAGTCTGACCCGACTCATAGCGACCCCTCCTTGGGTTTCCGAGGCAGTATCACTACGAAAGTAGGACTGCCCAAGCCTTCTGGTTAGCAGTCAAGTGCTTTAGGCACTACACTACCAGAGCTCCTTCCCATTCTATTACTCTCTAGTTATTTCCTTTAACAGTTCTCCACAATCCTGATTATCAGGCTGATTTATTGGTTTACTTGTTTGTTTGCTGCTTGTCACACTGGGGAGACCTTAACCTCATTGAGGCCAGGGTCTTTGCTTGTTCACTGCTAGGGGCTCAAGACTAACATAGGGTCTGGCATATACCAGGCGCAACAGAATTTATCAACTGAATGAAGAATAACACACAGGTCCAAATCCCAGGTCCACCACTTACCAACTATGTATCCTCCTGAAGCTTCTTCCTTTGAAAATCAGGCCTTTCAGGGCAGTGCCTAGACCATTTGACTGCTAGCCAGAAGGTTAGTGGTTCAAATTCAGCAGCCACTCCAAGGAAGGAAGACTGGGCAATCTGCTTCTGTAAAGATTTACTGCCTCAGAAACCCAAAAGGGGTCGCTATGAGTCGGAACTGACACTGTGGCATGGGTTTGGTATTTTTGTTTGGTTTTCAGGGCTATGATGTGTACCTGGGGTTGTGTAAAATGCCAGATAGGTGAAATCAAAACCAAACCAAACCCATTGCCATTGAGTCATTTCTAACTCATAGCCACCCTAGAGTAGAACTGTCTCATAGGGCTTCCAAGCCTGTAATCTTTATAGGAGCAGACTGCCACATCTTTCTCCTGAGGAGTAGCTGGTGGGTTCGAACCACTGACCTTTTGGTTAGCAGTCCAGTGCTTAATCACTGTGCCACTAGGGCTCCTTGATATGTGAAGATGTCCTGCAAATTGTTACTTATTAAAATTTTCTCTCCAAAATTGTCAGCGACAAATGCACTCTTTCTGCCAGGCTTAACGACCTTGCTGTACATTCAAAATAATTTTTTATTGAGGTAACAAATATAGAGAAAAGTAGATAAATCTTAAGTATACAACACAACCAGTTTTCATCTGTATCTACACCCATGTAACCAGATCAGGAAGTAGAACATTCCAACATCCAGGAAAAGTTCCCATGTTCCCCTTTCCCCAATACTCTCCCCCACCTGTAACCCCTTTCTTTCTCTTCTCAGTTTATCAGAGATCATGGTGCATGCATTCTTCTTTTAAATCACTCCTGACTCCTTCCTTCCTTCCTCCCATTTCTCTTCTGAGCCCCCTACCCCAGGCCCACTTCTCTCATTTACATCACTGCCTGGTCTCAGTGGGCACTTGAATTAGCAATCCCAGTTACCAGGGCACTGGGACTACACAAAACAACAGAATATTTGGCAACCTGCAAACAGCTGGGGTAAAAGTGCCCTCTGCAGCTTGCTGAATTGCCAGGGATGAGGGGAATCAACACCAGTGGGCAGGTAGGGGTGGTGGTGGGTCAGCTGGAGTCATTCTTCTCCATGATAGGGGTTGGGAGCTCCCTGAGGGCCCAAAGAAGTCTGATTGAACTTTATCTCCCGATAGACCTTCAAATCTGGGTGGTGGGAAGGGCTGGGCTAGGAGTCAGATGAAGATGTGTCTATGTGCTAGGTATCTTGGCTTGAGCCACTTGAACTTTTTCTGTCCCATTCCCTCACCAGAAAAATAAAAGTCAGCTGTGAGGTCTGTATGAGGCACAGACTCTTCAAGCTTTCTAAACTGTGAACCAAAAAAACCAAAAAACCCAAAACCCACTGCCATCGAGTCATGCCAATGACTTATAGTGACCCCCGTTGGGTTTCCAAGGCTGAAAATCTTTATGGAAGTAGATTGCCTCACCTGGCTTGCTCAGAGCAGCTGATGGGGTTGAATGTTGACCTTCTGGTTAGTAGCCAAATGCCTTAACCACTACATCACCAGAGCTCCTTCTAAACTATAACTCAACTCTCACTGCCATTGAGTTGATTCCTACTCCTAGTGACCCCCGTTGGGTTTCTGAGGCTGTGAATCTTTATGGAAGTAGATTGCCCCATCTTCCTTCCTCGGAGTGGCTGGTGGGTTTGAACCACCGGCCTTCTGGTTAGCAGCCAAATGCCTTATCCCCTATGCCACTAGAGCTCCTTTCTAAACTGTAAAGCGCTGGGCAAATACCAAATGGGAGTCACTGAAGGAAGGAGTTGCCTAAGGTCAGCTAGTCTGGCTGCTCTGCCTCAAGTAATAATACTGATGATGACAATGATATGGTAAGGGATAGCTATAATAATTACAACTAACACTCCTATAATGCTTATTGCCTGCCAAGAACTGTCCCAGTGCTTTACATCTTAAACTCACTAGATCCATACAACTCTAAAAGATGGGTACTATCACCTTTTCTTTACAGATGAGGAAATTGAGGCATGGAGTGGTTTAAGTGACTTGCCCAAGTTACATATAAGGAAGTGGCAGAATCTAAACTTGAACCTAGGCAATCTGGCTTCATACACTGAAGTCTCAATCCCCAGGCTTTGTGCTAAATGTTGTCCATGTTTTATTCCCTTTAATCCTGTGAGGTAGGTGTTATCGTTCTATTCCCATTAAAAACAAACAAAATCCCTCCTTCAAGATTCTTCCATATTCTATGCCCTCCAGTCTTTCTCCTGCATTTATTTTTATGTAGGTCCACATACTCCTGTCATCACCCTTCACCCTGCTTTATTTTTGTTTAAAGTGCATGTATTACTACCTCAATTTATTAAATAATAAATTTATTTACACTTTGTGTGTATGTGTGCATGTGTGCCTCATCATTAGACAGCAGGTCTTTTGATTGTTGATTTCCCAATACCCAAATAATGTGTGTTACATAATAGGCTCTCAGTAAATATCAAATAAATGAATACAGCACATGGTACTAAGTACCTTTGTGTGTGTGTGTTGCATAAATACCATAAAATAATGTTATTATTTTTTATAATGTCTCAGAGACTTTTTCTGAGTACAAACTTAAACCCAAAAAACCCTGTTGCCATCAAATTGATTCCGACTTCTAGTGACCCTAATAGGACAGAGTAGAACTGTCCCACAGGGTTTCCAGGGTTGTGACCTTTACAGGAGCAGATCCTCAGGTCTTTTTCTCCAGTGGAGAGCCTGTTGTTGTTGTTGTTGTTATGTGCCATAGAGTCAGCCCCGACTCATAGCGACCCCTCCTTGGGTTTCCGAGGCAGTATCACTACGGAAGTAGGATTGCCCAACCTTCCTTCCGAGGAGTGGCTGGTGGGTTTGAACCGCCAGCCGCCTGGTTAGCAGGCAAGTGTCTTAGCCACTATGCTACCAGGGCCTAGTAGGTTTGAACTGCTGACCTTTCTGTTAGCAGCTAACTGGGGCTCCACTAGAGCTGTAAACACACAGACTTAGCTCATTCTTTTTAACAGACAGAATCATTACATATCGTAGATGTCGCACTGTTTAACCAGTTTTCTATTTAATTAAACCATTTTCCCAGTGTTTTTCTAATCTAAACAATACCGCGATAAACGTTCTCACACATGCTTTTTTGTGCCTATGTGTACATATTTGTTCAGAATTAGTGCCTAGAGGTGGAATTGCTGGAAAGGTATATACATATAAAACCGATTCCGACTTATGTTGTTGTTATGTGTCCTAGAGTCAGGCCTGACTCATAGCAACCCCCCTTGGGTTTCCGAGGAGGTATCAGTACAGAAGTAGATCGCCCAACCTTCCTTCCGAAGAGTGGCTGGTGGGTTTGAACCGCCAGCCTTCTGGTTAGCAGTCAAATGCCTTAGGCACTACGCTACCAGAGCTCCTGTTGTTGTTGTTGTTTGCCGTAGAGTCAGCCCTGACTCATAGCGACCCCTCCTTGGGTTTCCGAGGCAGTATCACTACGGAAGTAGGATTGCCCAACCTTCCTTCCGAGGAGTGGCTGGTGGAGGTAGACTGCCTCATCTTTCTCCCCTGAGGGGCTGGTGGGTTCGAACAGCGGACTTTCTAGTTAGCAGCCCAACGCTCTAACCACTGTCACCACAGCTCCTTAGAAAACACAAAGTTAATTGATAATTTCAAATTGCCCGCCGATATCTATTGTGCCAGCACGGTCTGAGGATACACGTCAGGTTTTCATATACCTTGGACCAAACTGGTTATTACCGATCTTTTAACTTTTTGCCAATTTCAGGGAGAGAGGAAACTGAGGCTCGCAAAGAGTTAGTGACTTTCCCACACAACCGGTAAGTGGCGGAGCCATGATACGGCACTGGATGTGTCCGACTCCCGAGAGGACGCGCCAAAACTGGACACTGTCCTCTGTGCTGTGAGCCCTTGAGGACGTCTGGTCACGTCAGGGATTTGTGAGGCTGGCAGGCCCTGGTCTCCTCCTCTGGGCCTTAGATCCGGCCCCGCCTGTTCGCTGGCCACCTCTCCAGAAACCCACCCAGGCCCCGCCTCGCAGCTTCCCCAGCTACGAAATGGCGTCCGCAGGGAGCGCGAGGCCACTGTTCTCCCCTAGGCTGCGGGCTTGAGTGCAGGCCAGAGTGATCGATGCCCGAATCAGGCTCTATAGTCTGCTGCCAGGCGGGCTCGCGCAGAAGCAGCCGCAGGTCGGGAGGAGGAGCACCGAGCGTAGGGCTCCTCTGCCGGGGCCGTCCGAGAGTCTCTTCATCGCGGGCCCTGAGGCCGCCATCTTAGATGGAGGGAGTAAGACGAGAACGAGCGTGAGGCGGGAAGGCTTCCCTGAGGTTCGCCTTGGGGCCCGTAGCAGGCCAGTTGGCTGGGCTTTGGGTGTGTGTATCCTGAGGCGCAGAGCGCGAGTGGGACGATGCGGTGGCTGCTCGGGGCCCCGTCCCCGGGGCTGGGGACGCGTCGAATGTGACCGCCTCCCGCTCCCTCACCCGCCTCGGGGAAGAGGAGCGGACTAGACGCCGCTGCGGATCGACGCGACACAGGGTCGGCCTGGCTTCTTCAGGTAGGCGGCAGGGCTGGGTCCTGGAAGGGGGTGAGGGAGCTGGGCGGCGGGGCTGAGGGGCCGGGCTCCCTGGTGGCCGGGCCTGGGCGGTGCTGACGGAGTGGCCCCGCAGCTGCCGGTCAGAGGACCTGGGCCAGGCCGCTGTCACACCGTGTGGCGCTGGGCGGCTGGGGACTTGGGGCTCGGTGTCATGGCCGGCGAGCCAAATTCCCACTCAGATTTCCTTGTGTTTCAGGGAAACGTGCCAGCACCACCTCTGTGCCCAGTGCACATTCCTTATATTTTGGCAATGGAAGAATCCGCCCATAGCTGCCCTGCAACTGTGCTGTCAGTCGGTCGGATGAGCTAATTCCCCCCCCCCCTTTTTTTTTCTGGTCGCAGGGTGCAGTACTCGGGCCTGCACCTTCTCTCAGGGTCCTTTACCCAAGTGACACCCTTTTAGGGAAGAAGGGAGGAATTAGGAAGAGAGGAGGAAATGGGTCAGTGCCCCATCACAAAGGCGTAGGGGGCTCGCCTGGGGTTTCAGAATTCTGTGGGTTACTAATAAAAGGTTTACGATGAGCATGGGCCCTGGGATGCTTTGGAATGAAGATGTAGGGTTATCTTTTGTGTGAAGTGAGAGGTGCTGGGACGCTTCATTTTTGCAGCCGCAAGCTAGTCGATGTCCAGAGAGAGGAGTTTGGACATCGTGAGAGGCGAGGCGGTTGTGTTCATTCATTGTTCTTTTTCCAGGGTCTGGGTGTGCCCATCGTGTTCTTTCTCTGGTGGAAAAAATGATAGGATCTCACATGTCTCCTTGAGATGTGACTGGACTCAAGGGGTTTACTTAATCTAAGAAGGGAATGAATTCATATGTTGACTGAGCATTTCTGCCTGTCTAGCCCTCTGCCGCTGAGTGGCAAGAAGTCGGTCCTCCGTTTGCTCCCAAGACGTGAAAACAGTGATAAGATAATGATTGGCTTGCCAAGTGCTGTGGGAACTTAGAATACCTAGTTTTTCCTTGAGGATTTAAGGAAGCATGTATGCTAGAGAGGACTTGTGCACAGAGTTTTGAAGGACTGATAATACTCTCCAGGTGAGGAGAGGAGGGGAAGGGCGTTCCAAATGGAGGGAACAGCTGGTACATAAAGAGGCCTGTAGGAGTTGGGATGAGTTTGGGGAGTAGCAAATACTGAGGGGTGCAGGGAAGTAGTGAGAGATGAGAGTCCAAAAGAAAAAGTTGTTAGATTGTTAAGGTCTTTCCTTTGTTGAAGGTAGCAGTGAATCCGCTGATTTAAATTGGATTCTTCTGAACGTGTGCTGCTGTTTCTTTGATTCTTGTTATTGTTAGTGCCGTTGAGTCGATTTTGATTCTTCCCGATAACTAATCATTTTCCTCCTCTTTTTTGTGTTTTTGGACATTTTATTGTTTTAGGTGAAAGTTTACACAGCAAATTCATTTTCCTTTCCATAGTTCATACACAGATTGTTCCATGACATTGGTTGCTATCCCCCTGATGTGTCAGCACTCTCCCCATTTCCACCCTGCCTTCCCTGTTTCTGTCTTTCCAGTTTCCCTGCCCCTCTTTGCTTTCTCATCTTTGCTTTGGGCCTGTGTTGCCTCTTTGGTCCTGTAAAATTGATTGTTCTAAGGAGCACATTCCTTATGGTTGTTACTGTTTATTTTATAGACCAATCCATTATTTGGCTGAAAGGTGACCCAGGGATTAACTTCAGGTTCCGCTTAAAAGGGTGAATTAGAGCAATAGTCTCTGAGGTTCTTCAATCTCTATTAGTTCAGGAAGTGTTCTTTTTTGTGAATTTGAGTTTTGCTCTGCATTTTTCTTTCATTCTAACCAGGACCTTCTATTTTGTCCCTGGTCAGAGCATTGGCATTGTGAATTGGGCACTATCTAGTTCTGGTCTCACTTGACTGCTAACCAGAAGGCTGGTGGTTCAAACCCACCAGCCACTCCTCGGAAGGAAGGTTGGGCAATCCTACTTCCGTAGTGATACTGCCTCGGAAACCCAAGGAGGGGTCGCTATGAGTCGGGGGCCATCTCGACGGCACATAACAACAACAACAACAGTTCTGGTCTCAGCTAGAGGCAGCTGTGATTCCTGTGGGCCATTAGTTCTGTGTACTAATTGCTTTATTGAGTCTTTTCCTTCATTCTCCTTTGCTCCAGATGGGAAGAGACCAGTAGTTGTATGATAGATGGCCACTTGCAGGCTTTTAAGATCCTAGATGCTACTCACCAAACTAGGACGTGGAGCCTTATCTTTATGAACTTATGTCTGAGAAGTTTCCATAACTATGCCCCCTAGGTGCATATATTATGTATATGAATATGTATACAGCACATACAAATGTGTATATGCAAATGCCCACAACTGTGTCTATATATGCAAGTGCAGGTGCTGGCATATGCCCTCCTATATAGCAAATGTATCTACCTATGTAACCACTCACTAATTTTTGTTTGTTACTATTGTTGCAGAATTGTATGTGTTAGAGCATTTATCATAGTTGTCCTTTATTCTTGCCTCTCAGTGTTTTCATTTTCCTTGGTTGGTCTCTTCATGATATTGAAGCTGATAGCAATAGAAGAGATTTAGTTTGTTAAATGCATTTAGGAACATTTAAAAAATGTTTTAGATCAAATGTTTTGCATTTATACAATGGTGAATGGACTGAACTCACATTCCTGGAGATTCTTGTAAAAGATTCTTCTAAAGTTATACTTGCTCACAAAAATATTGTATGGAAAATGAATTTGTTCTATAAACTTTACCCAAATCACAATACTACTAATAATAATAATAAAAAAGAAAGTTGATTTTATAAATACAGTACAGTTTATTCTGTTTTAAATGGCTGTTGACAATATTAGTCATGCTCTCCAATCATACAGAAATTGACACATTTTATAAAGTATCTGAAAATATAGAATACTAGTGAATATTTTTAGTTTAGTAAATATGTTTCATATAGTAAAATGTTTCTTTGGGTAGATTTCCGTGATCCTAATTCTGTCTTAAAGTTGTTAGCTCCATAAACATAATTTTTCTAAAATAGCTATATTATTGTGATTAATACAAAAGTGATTGTTAAGATATTAACACTTCAGCACACTTCAGCTGGCAGTTCCTAAATCTTTCTCGGGTTATGATGACTATATAACACTGAAGAATATTAAGATTCTTTTGGCTTATTTTCACCCTTATCACTTCAAGGGCTAAGCTGTTTAAAATGCAACAGAAACATTTGACCCAGTTCAACACTGGATACTTGGGAGAATAAACTTGTTACTGTTTCTGTTCTGAAAGCTTATCTATTAGGTATGTGGTGGGTATGATTGTAAATTGTAGTGAAATTGCTTAGTCTTGTTATATTTTTATGGGTAGTTGAAGGAAAATTTGTGTCTTCAAAGGAAATACATTTGAACATATAGTATTTGGTTTAGCAGTAAGAAAACTTTAGTGTGCAGCTGATTAAGCTGATCACTAATGACAAAAGGTATCTAAATGATGAAAGGAGAATGATCAAACATCAAGTATCTTAGAATTGCTCCCAAACTAGTGGCTTTTAGTGTAAAATATGCCATTTTCTGAACTCCAAAGTAAAGTAGGTGGTTTGCTCTGAACATTAAATGATGTCAACAGCTTCATACCTTTTGGAAGTTAAAATTGACCTTTCCAGAAACACTAGTTTATTTAAATGGAAAATATAATTAATAATTCCAAATTACTGTTTCAAGTAGTCTATTAGTAGATCCATGCTTCTACTACATTTTAAATTCAGATAACTTTGTTAGCAACCTATTGCCTAAAAATAGAAAAATATTGTATGAGGGAGTACTTTTGTTTTCATGTTAGGGACATAATAGGCCATACATAATAATCCTGGTCTTGGGAGGAGCTTGTTAGCCAAACAGCATGCCTTAACGTTGACTTGCAGAAGAGAATTTTAAATATTGCCTTTGAAAGGCAGTTGATTAACATGACAGTGGGGGAGGGAGGTTTATGAAACCACAGAATTGAGCCTTGACTTGAAAGATTTCTTTCTTTTTTATATTTGTACAGTTCATGGAAGTAATTTCTTTAAAACCATAACAGAACAAAACAAAAACTGTTGTTGAAAAATTGCTTACCTTGACTAAATTAATTGGAAAATGGGACAGTAGGTTCATTTAGGGTGAAGTGGTTTAGGATTTAGGTCTTACTCTGTGTGTATGTAAATGGATGGGTAAGAATTCTGAGTTGCTCATTTGACTGGGTTCAAATGTAATACTACTAGATATTTGTATTACAATTAATTTGGTACCTCTGGTACAGGGCTAAACTACCTTACCTGTAATCTTCAATGATAGAAACAGCTGGCTATTTATTTTTGTCTTAGAGTTGTGAATAAAAATTCATTAGTTACATATAAAAGTTTTTAACCTGTATTTTACAGTCATTCAGTGCTTATTTTTCTCCCAGAATTACTTGTGTAGCTGTGGGTGACTTTAGTAGTTAACCTCAAATCCATTTGCCTTTCTCTAAACTTAGACCTAGAATCTCAGCCCTTATCAAGGAAAATATTAAGTGGGTGTTATTTCATTGTTACTAGTTTGGCTTAGGGATCTGAAGCTTCTGCAAATCACATTCCAATGAGTGTACATAGTATTTCTTGAGGAACACTTGACATGTAGTTTTATTTTTAGACCAGATTTAGTCTAAGGGATCTTACTGGGTGAGGATTAATAATCCAAAAACTAGCTCAGAATTTTAAAACCTTTCTGATTTAGAGGTTGTTTGCATTTTTGATTAAAGAATAGGAAACTCATTTTTTATTTCTTCTAAACAATTAGGGAAAATAAAAGTAGTCTGAGGTTTTTTTTAGATCCCCATAGATTTCTGATTGAAGCATCAGGCTGGTTAATAATGGTTAATATGTCTTTATAATTATGAATTTTCATTTTTAATCTGGTATGTTAGAGGTACTCATTTCAACCTCAAGTATCTTTTAACATCTG